TTGAAATGGGAAGGGTTCGCCATTCACGGTGATTTTAAAATGTCAGAACTTGATATAGGGCTGCCAAAATGGACGATTTATGCTAATTTAAAGGGATACGTGGCGTATGAGTGATTTCCTAATTTATTTATTATTTAAATTATGCGAAAATACCACTTTTATAGTTTAGTTTAGTGACAATTTTAAAATTTATTAGCTATCTTAAAAAGTTAGATTTAACATATACATTACGTTATGTAATTATCTCTTGTTTTTCGGATATTATTTAAAAAAAACTTACAAATGATATTCATCTAATAGTAAAGAAAACCCTTCATTAAACAGCTTACAAATGACCATTTATTGAATGGCCAATCTTGGAATAATTTGTAATGACTTGTTTATATTCCATAATATGTTCTCTGTAATTGAGAACCGACGTCCTTTGTTATTTTATTGCCCCCTCTGGGCTGAAGAAATTAAACCAATAATTTAGCTGTCAATTTTAGAACGCTGCGCTGCCCACACAGACGTATCAGATTCAATGGCTTAAACCGCTCCTTGGCCATTGATTTTACCGGGTATTGAGGATTGCCGGCGAAAAGGATTCAATTTGGCCAACAATCGAAGCTGGCTCGTTGTATCCTCGACTCCACCCCCTTCCACAAAATCTTCCTTCTATATTTGGCTGCCATTCTGTGCGGATGCTTACTGCAAATGTTCCTCACTCCCCTTCTCCTTCGATCGGATTGCTGCTGCAAATTGGTAATTTTATACGGTTGGCGGTGCCTGTTTTCGCTCGGTTGGCTGGTTGGTTGGTTGGTCCGGCTCGATGGCGGTCCCTTGATTGTGAATAATACAAAATAATTGTTAAAAATTAAAACGTAAATGCTTTCAGCTATCGCGGTCCGCACTTGTCGGTTTAATTAGTAACTCGACCGCATTGGGCAAATATTTCCGTTTTTATTTATTGATTTTGCATAAAAGGATATCTTTCTCAATCAAAGTGGATTGATACAATAATTCCCATAAAAACGTGTAATATAAGTATAACCCCATCACTAAAAGAGCATTTACTAAAATAATTTTTAAAATATCAGCAGTTTAATTTCACACAAAACATAATATTATTTTCGCTATATCGATGTGAGTCGATAATATTTTATTGTTCAATGAAAGTACTCATTTCGTTCACATTTAATTGGAATTTTAGAGCCCTCTCAATACAATCTTGCTGAATATATGCGCCCAGGGAAGGCACTCAATCAGCGAGCCCAGAAAGGATATATATATTTGTCAGGAAAAAGGGAGTGAAGATGTTAGGTAAGACACATAAGTAACGCACAAGGAAATCGGAACGTAAACGGAAACGAAAACGAAAACTGTTGAACTGTTGAAATCATAAAATATTACCGTTCGCAATACAATTTATTTAAATCAAAGTCTAAAGCGTTATTTACGAGCACTGTGGGGTTGGTTGGGTTCGTTTTCAATGGGATTCGAGATTGTGGGAGGGTGGATCGATGGGTTTTTCGGTGGAGGGGGTGGAAGGCTGGCTTGCGTGTGGTCTTTTATACTTTCATTCCCGCCATTGTTTGCATTCTGAAAGAAGACAAAAGCCAAGCCCCCAAAAGCGAAGGAAAAGCGCGTCACACAAATTTGGCTGACTAATAGCCGCAAATAGCCGAAAGGATGATAATGATGTGATGGGTGATGGGTGGTCAGTATGGCAAAACATGGCACATTGCATAGCTTCGAAGGACCGGGGACTACAACTCCATTTGCTTTTAACCATTCCATGCCATGCTCTCCATTCTCCACTCTCCACGTTTATTGTTTTGCCATGCTTTCTGCCTATTATACAAAATGCTACAACAGACAGACGGACAAAGGCCTTCTCCATTTGCCTAATGTGTTTGTGTGAGTTGGAAAATCGAAATTCGGAAAATTCCGAAATTGAAATGGAGTGTGTCTCGGGAATTTAGGTGGAATAATGTTAGTTTTTGTTCGACTACCTTCAATTGCCAAATTAATTGCAGTTAAGTCGAGCAAGCTAAGCCCAGCTTCCATATACCCCTCTCACTCGCTCCCCCTATTTCCCTCTCTTTTTCTCCCTCTCTCTTTCCAACTTTGCTTCTCTGTGTGTCTGTGTCTGTGCAGTGTGCAAACTAAAGTGGAGTCAATGAAAATTGCAACTCCCACTTTGCTCGTACGTCAATTAGACCTCCTTCTCAGCCACTCTCTCCTCTGCTTTCTGCATTCTCCTTTCACTCACACACTCCCTCTCCTTCCCCCGCCGTCTACCCGTCTCTTTCCACTGCAGCTTTAGCTCTTTTATTGCAGTGCAATTTGTTGTAGAAATCGTTTTGTCCGACAGTTGAACAGTTTGTTATTTCTTTTAAATGTTCCCAAGCAAAAGAGCTTTTCCGAATTTTTGTGGCTTGCCTTGGCCAACGGTCAGGCATTGAGATTAATGGGATTTTCCCTCTCATTCCCACGATTACACTACACAAAAAAACTCTTGGGAACTGCCATTGATTTATCCTTTAAGAAATAGTTTATGGCCTATTTTATTTAAGAAAATTCTAAGCAGGGCTTCAGGAATCTAGGATATTATTAAAGAAAGAGGACTTTCAGATTTTTCAGTGTAACCTTAAGTTAACCTCTTGCCTGGCATTTCCCATTTGGCCAAATGAATGCAATCAAATCCAAGTAGAAATTTCCTCGAGAACAGAGCGCCGCACAAATGAAATCATCCAGAGGTGCTGAATAAACGCAATTTCCATTTGTGAATTGAGATTGAAATGAAAGTGGGGCAGGCGCCTAAGTGTCACTATTTTTGAAGTCCCCCAATTCCCCACTCCAATGCTCCCCGAATAAGTCCCAACCCCCATGGTTTTTTTCTTACACCCCCAATCTCACTCTAAAGTCTTACACGAAAACGAATCAAGAGCGAGCAATGCACAGAGGGAAATTACGGAAAAATGTGTTACGAACGCAGGTGATGGCTCCACAAAGTACACACATATATATGCACCTCCGAGGGAAAATGGGGGGTGGTGGGCGGAAAATAGGGGTGCTGGGCAGGGGGGTGGTGCCTTGCCCTCAGCACTTGGAGACGCACTTTGGCAAAAGCAATCTTCTAAACAGGATAAATGTAATTGCGCATGAATTTCTACGCATATTTCGGCGTCGCTGTCTGAGCTGCAAATGTTTGTTACCCATTTGTTTGCTGCTTGCTTTTTTTGCTCCTCTTTTTGCCGTCGCTGAAAAGCGTTCTCCGGCATTTGAGGAGCGGCCACCCCATTGGCCCTCCGCTGGCCACGCCCCCAAAGAGAGTGCTCTCTCTCTCTTCTGGCCGGTCTCGCCATCTCTCTCCTTCGACGGGTAATTGACTCGCATAATGTTTGTTTTGTTTCGGCCAAATCGTTTGCAACACTCTTTGAATGCCTCGTGGTTGTCTCATAAAAAGCGAAAGCATTTAAAAATTCAATTTGCCCTCTCTCTCTTTCACTCGCTCCCTCTCTCTCTCGCCCACTCTCTCCCGCTCTTAGTCTGCAAAGTTTGCAGAGCAGAGATACTTGTCAAAAATGGCCGCTTAGGCTTAGGGGAGGTTTTCTCTTTGGGGAACGGGACGTCATGGAATGGAACATGATATAAGGCAAAAAAGCTCGAAGGATTCTACTAAAAAAAGGGAGATTCTAATACATTTGAAAACTTGAAATATGTTGGGTGAACAGGTTATGTCTGTTGGAAACTTGAAACTCGACAATATTATTTTAAAATACGAAATAAGTAATTAGTTTATAAATAAATTTGTTAAATATTAAGATCGTATTATGTGAAGCCTTGATAACTCTTTATTTGTAGGTGTAAAATTGATACACCTTTCTAAAAATTATATGACTTATGGCATTGAATTGAAAAAGGTTAAAAACATTATTTTTTTCACTTCAAAAAAGGTTTTAATAAAGCTTTCTGGTTGTTTTTAATCAGTAATAAATAAGTATTAAATTGCAATATATATTTGGTGTTCCCACCAAACATCTTTAAATAAAAACGGATGCCTAATTTTGATTTTCGTTATAAAACGCTTGAAATATTTATAAGATCACATGATTTAGTTTGGTTTCCTCTTAATCTTTTAACCTTTAAATGGAATCTCAAGCACTCAATCTGTTAACCGCAAAGTTGCAATCAACTGGTACATTTTCGCCAACACTTTTCTGGTCGAAAAAGTTTGCATCTGGCTGGCTGGGAAATTTCAATGGCGCCACAGAGCAACACTTGACCCCTGTTAGGTGGCAATTGATTGATTTTATATTGGCATTTCAATAGACACCAGCCGAGCGAAGCGATTCGAGTCGATTTTGCGAGTAGAGCCGAGTGCGCCCCCACTTTAGATGGCGTTCCAAATGCCAAGTGTTTCCCAACCTAAGGGGGTGGAAAGCCAAGCCCCACAGCACCACAGAAAAAACTATGAAAAAAAGAGGAAAATCCGAAAAGTGTCTGTCGATGCGGTTGCAGTGCAATTGTCGAAATAAACGAAAAGAAATTCCAAACTGCAAATGGGATGGAAAAGAGCGGCCAGAAAGGGAGGCCACCAGGCGGGGCGAACGAGAGAGGGCTAGCCCCGCAGAGAGAGACGGACTGACGGAGAGCGAGAGCATGGGACACACCCTCCCAGGAGGGGTGCAAAAGTAAGCCAGTGTGTGTGCGAGTGTGGAAAACCATTTAGCGCAAAGACCAAAAGAATTTGCAGGGCTGCCAGCCAACCACCTCGGTCTCAGTTTCAGTTTCAGTTCCACGCTCTCCGGACACGAGACCGGGGGTTAAAAATCCAGAGACTGAAACAATAAAAACACTAAACGATCGCTTTTCCAAACACACACAAACACACACACCCCCTAACAGGCTCGCACACACACAGACAGACAGAAAGGACGAAGGACTCGGAACTCAGAACTCAGGACTTGTGCGTCTGTTAACAGCCGCATTTGAATTTAAATGCGAAACGTTGATCAAACGGTGCAGACGTGTTTTTCCCAACGGTAGCGCTCCGCGTTTTCCCTTAACGAGTTTTTCGTGCCACGAGTAAAGTGAACCAAGTTTTGAAATAGCCAAGGAAAATATATAGAAAGAAGAAACACACAAGTGCAAACTAAAGAACAAGAGTGCTTCTAAAAATCAATTGAACTACAAATATAAATATTAAATAAAAAGTAGAGAGTAATCACTAGCCATGTCTTCCTCCGAGGCCGAAGTTGACATCAGTGTGGTCTCCAGTCCGGAGCCGAGTCCTCTGGGCGCCGCCGCCCGCGACAGTCCGCTGCTGGTCCGCTCGCCGGCCCGCTCCGCCGACGGCAGTTCGCCGCCCGCCACGCCCACCCATCGCTCCAATACGCCCAATACGGCCGCCGGCACGCCCACCACCTCCGCCTCGGGCGGCAACGGCAGCCACTTCCATCACAGTCCCAGCGGCGGAGCCGTTCCGCCGGCGGTGTTGCACCACCATCTGCAGCACCACCTGAGCACCCTGGGCGGCCATCCGGTGGCGCTGCATCATGCGCTCCACACCTTTGGCCACCACCTGCATCCCGCCCACGGGGCCACCCATCCCGCCCTGCTGCAGCACGCCCTCACGCCCACCAGCCAACAGCAACAGCAGCAGCAGCAGCAACAGTTGCAGGTGCAACAGCAACACCAGTCGCATCTCGAGCGTCTCAGTCCGCCGATGAAGAGCCCCGAGCGGAATGGCGGTGAGGAGCTGCAGCAGGGACTCAGCCTGAACAACAACAACAGCAAGGCGCTCAATCACAACAACACCTGCGCCTCGGCGGCTGCAGCAGCGGCAGCGGCGGCCGTGGCAGCGGCCAACCTGAGCAACAACAGCAACGACAGCAACGGGAGCAGCGGAGGCGGTGGCAAGAGCACCACCGGATCCAACGGATTCACCAGCTTCTCCATCTCCAGCATCCTGAGTCGCAGCGAGCCGGCCAAGAAGAACGGCGCCGCCGGTCTGATAACTCCGATCCCCCAGTTGCCGCAGCCAGGAGCCGGCGGACCCCAGGATGCAGCCATGCTGTCCAGGTGAGCAAATGTGATCCAGATATACGGGGGGATTTAAGGAAACCTGCTGAAATCAAGAGTGAATTTAAAATCTGAATGGATCTTTTTTTTTTTAATGTTTTAAAAATACCATTAAAGCCCTAGAAAAATTATTAGGAAATTTGCTGTATAACTTGAAGGGTTATCAATATTTTGATCGATTTTATTTTGTGTAAGAACTTACAAATTCACATTTTAGTAGGCCTCTAAAGAGTTCCTTAAATTAATCAGTTCTTTAAAATTTCTTCTGGTTAGGATGTAGTAATTTCAAAACCACTTTAAATTCTTTTTAATTATTTAGCTAAATTTCCAAAAAGAGTAGAAATCATTTATTTGTAAATTTTAACTTAGATTTTACCTTCCTTTGGGCTGTTTATATTTACCGAAATAAACCTAATCTGTTGTAAAAAAAAAGGTATATTTAGGTTTTGTTTGAATTTTCTTCTGCACCTATTTACCTCTCAGTGTAGTCGACCCAGATGAAACCAAAAAGTCAAGCCTTCCCTCAATGAGCCCAAAGAGGCTGCCATTCCACTTGTTCGCCCTCGGGTTGGGCCAATTTTATATAATCGTCCTAGGGGAAGACAAAGGAAGGTGACACAAATCTCTTCGCAGGAAATGCACAAAAAGAAGAGAGGGACGGCCAAAGTAGCCGTCGTTGGGAGATGGTCGATAAGACCGAAAATTGTTGGGCAAACGTTACACGAGACATTAAGTGGGTGAGGATGCAAATGGCTAAAGTACCCGACCATTGTCCCTAGAAGGCTCTAACGATTCCAGACAGATAAGGCCAAATCCAATGGAACAGTGTTCAGTTGCACTGGGCACTGGCTGACCTCGAATTTATGCAGAAAAATGTCGGGGGGCTATGGTTTTTTTGCCCGGCAATTTGGTCTGCCTATCGAGTTACATAACATTTGCCAGATGAAATTCAATGCACCGTTTTTGGGTCTGAATGTATGTAACCGACTGACTGACTGATTGACGGACTGACAATGCTCCAGTATCGTATGCAAAACGTAACTGCTCAATAAATGAACCCTCAGACCCTCCAACTGACCCACAAAAAGAAACGTTCTTACAACTGTTTGTCCTGCAAATGCAACCTATTGATACAAAATGTGCACAGGGAGAAAAACAAAACCGAAGTCGTATATCTGATTTATTCAGTCTTGGAGGAAAGAATAATATAATCTAGCAAAGCAGTTTGAAAATCTACATTTTTAACAACTAAAAATACTTTTTTAAAAAAGTCTAAGTAACCTGAAAACATAAAACCTGTTAGTTTTCTAATGTTTCTGATTCATTCAGTTTAAAGAGCTTCTTTTCATTTTTAAAGAAGTCCAAATAATCATCAACACTGATAAATATGTCATAAATATCAATATTTTCAATGAAATTCTGGTATTTTAAATGCAGAATACCATTATTTGGTTTATTTTTCTCTTCCTGAGTGCATATTTATATTTTTCTTGTGCATTTCATTCACGTTGGCATATTAACCCCACTTAGCCGGCTTTCAAAATGCTGCATACGGAATGAGCGATCGAATTTCCAGGCAGCTCGATTAACGCATGTGTTGAATTAAAAAACAACGAAGAGAATTTATAAGTTGCACTTTTATTTTATGAGAGGGGACTCCCTAGTGGTTTTTTAAGTCCTCCGTTCTTTTTTTAATAATGATCATTTTCATTTCATTTACGCGTGCCCGCGCCGCTGATCGCCTCGATAAGGGAAGTTAGTCAGGTTGGTCGAGGGTCGCCGCTGCCACTAGTGTCCCTATCTACTCGAGTGAGCTGCGTGGTTACCCCAATTAAGGACCTCGTCCTGGAGGAAGTGTCGCCTCCTGCTGCTTGGCGCTTGCCCAGCTGACGTGTGGCTGCCTATGTGACTGGCTTATCGCTTGATCATCAGCCGGAATGATTAATGCCACGGGGCATACAAATATTGCTGAGTGATCGTTTAATAGTTTGACTGGACTTTCTCCTCCCGAACTCGGCTTATTTTGACATTTGCGCTTACGTTTTTAATTAGTCCTTGGGCGCTGGGCTTTCTCCTCAGTCTGTACTTAATTACTATTCAGTCGGTCGTTTGGACGGGGGGATTTCGAAAAGTTGCAGAGCGCAGGAAAAAAAACCATTCAAGAGGTGTAACCCGATATGCTTGTGAGTGGACTGGAAACAATGGGACGGCGAACGGAAAGGGTGCTCCTGCATTGTCCTTTTCTCCCAGGATGACGCAAAAAGCAGACGATGACATTATAATTACACACACACTCACTCAGCCAGTCAGTCATTCAGTCGGAGGTATATAAATGCCCCGAAGTAATTACAATCCAATTGCAATCGCAATTGAGGACCTAACCAATCCCATAATATATCTCTCCATCTGCAACTGATTTTCGGCGCTGAGGGGATTAGCGTTTAGTGGTGAAATGCCTTTGATTCCTTATCGCGATTGGTGGCGGTGCGGTGGGAATTTCTATGGTCGCAATTTAATCAAAACATATTCCGCAGACCATCGGATGATGCATCCAATCTGGATCTGAGGCTTGACTTTGCTCTGTTCTCTGCTCGCTGGTCACGTGTCATTTGGCGGGGCTTCCCATGGTGGTAAATCGCCAAAAAAGAAAAGAATAGTGAAAACCCAATATCATGCTCTTCACAAATGTCACCATTTTTGGTTACTTCTCGCTTAGCTGTGGGATATATCCTAAGCCGCTCCCCAGGCACTGGAATATTGCTAATAATCCCGTTTAATGACAAAAGCAAAGTTCGCTGCCCATTCGAGTGTTTAATATTTTGCCTACTTTGCGGCCAGGTCGAGAACCCCTCGAGTGCCCCTCGAAAACCCGCACCGTTAAATGTCAACAATGCAAAATATACATTTTTGGAAGGGGAGGGTCCCGCACGGGATGCACCAATTAGAGTGTGCAAATCTTTTACGCTTGAACGATTCCTAAGCGGTTTTAGGGATCACTCAGTCTCCCATTTAAATATATTTATTTAAATCAATTCCGGTAATGCGACATTATTCGTACGAAAAGTGCGGGTAATGCCATTTGAATTGGTTAATTCCAGTCATTGCCGCAATTTGCTTAACTTAACCCCAGCCATTCAGACACATTACTTTGAACTTTGCTCAGATCTCGGCACAAAGAAAGCGCCCACAGATAGCTCGGGGACATCAAAGCGGAGACAGGCCAGAAACCAACCAGAAACCGATGTTCAACGCCATGTTAAACAACTCAATTGCATAGCCCACTTTTATCCCTCGGACAAAGGGATCCCAAGACGGGGAATTATGATGGGTGAGCCGGGAAAAGGAGCCCAAAGCGAGAACCGCAAACAATTCATTAAAAGCTGAATAACAAATGCATCAACCCCCATTTAGCATTTCCCATTTGACAGCCGGCGGGGGGTGGTGGTGATGGGGGGTTGGCGGTTCTACGAGGTCTACGAGGGTCCAAAATGGGGCAGGCGCACCCACTTTTAAAACATGGCCGTCCGCTTCCGCCGCAGAGTGACACCAATGGAATTGGAAATGCTAGTGGTCGTGGAAATGAATACCCAGCTGTCCGCGGTTCGCCCTGGGCAAATTTATTTTGTATTTATTTCATTATCCGCGTCGAGCTCTTGATTTGCGTAATTAGTCGAGCAAATAGCTACAAGCTTTTGTTTTGATTTTTCCTGCCGACCAACATCGTTCGAAATTAGCCCCGTAATTGAGGTAATTTCTTTTGTCCTTTTTCTTTTTGGCCCGAGGAGCTGGGATGATGAGTACACTTAAGGGAAAGCAGGAGGAAATTGAGAAAAAGATTTCAAGATTTTATCCTAGAATGTGACATTTATGACTTTAAGCTTTTAACTTGAAATGATAAAATAAAATGTTAGTTAAAATTAGGTGCTGCCAAACTTAATATTATTCTTTATTTGTCAAACAACATTTTTTTAATGAAAGATTTTCTTAAATATTTATTTTTCAAATAATATCAAATATATTGGATTTAAGTATGCCTTACATTCTCGTTTTTCTACCTTGAAAAATTAATTGATTGAATCAAAATCCCTATATAAAAATTAAACTGACTTTTTATTAATTTGTGCTCAAGATATAAATACTTGAAAATGCTGCTTTTGCCTTCGCTAAATTATTAAATTAAATCGATACCAAATTCTATACTTGTGCTCTTGATTTTTCTCGTCGTGTTGGTAACTTGAGAGGAGTTTCTCCTATTTTTATATTTTTTGCGGCTGTTTGGGTTCCGGCTTCTGTCTTTTAGCCAAAAGCCAAAGCGGCTTTCTCTCAATTGCCGCTGTAAACATGAAGCCCATTAGAAGTGATTTGAGCTGGCAACTTGGGGAAGCCCCTGAAGAGTCCTCCTCATAATTTGCCATTCCGGGCTGAAAGTAAACTTAATTGAAAATCATTACTGCCGTTGGCAATCGGTGCAAAGCGAGAGAAAAAAAGAGAGAGAGCGGGACTCTCGCCCACCTGGCTATTGATTTCCACACCTGATGCACCCTTGGCCGCAGCGAAAGAGGTCAACTAAATGTTAATGTCACACACACACACACGCTCCGCGTTGCATTTTCATTTTCTGTCTGAGGCGGTTGGGTTGCAACTGCACCCTCGAAAAGAAATCACAGTCTGCGCCCGGGTCACCTGCCCTTGGGGGTCAAAGTTTGTGGGGAGAGCTTAGTCCAACCGCCCGGTAAAAGCGAAATGCGAAAGCAAAACGAGCTCAAGGGGTTGGCTACTGTATAGTGCGAACGGGCATTTTAGAACGGTGAGAACAACGCATTTCGTGGGGCTTACGTTTAACACCAAAGTTCAGTGGGTGCGTGGGAAGCTTAAAAGACGGTAAATAAAAAACCAATGAATCAATCACATTTAAGGGACAACAGCAACTTTGGCCACTTACATTCGGCCCGATTACACAAGTCGAAGCGAAAAACAAAAAAACGGGGAAAACTCACCCCAAATAACTCTCCTCGATGCGAATATAGAACACATTATAACGAAAAGTGTTTCGTCTTGCCAGCATAAATAAATAAAATGTATTTATAAAGATGCTTTTAAGCCAGTAAGTTAACAAGGTTACACGGGCACATACACAGAGAGAAAAATACTACCATATAAGTTTATGGAATTAAAAAATTCCAGAAAATGGTATAGCTTACATATATTGTATAAGTGAAGTGGGTGTATAATTTCGATTACAAATATTTTATAAATATAATTTTAGCACAGAAAGTCGTAAATCTTTTTCCAGTGTTTCTTCATATATGTATACTCGGCAGGCAGGGTTGAGTGGGCCAAATTCTTAACAGCTGTTGTCAGTTATGGGGTTGTTAAGGGTCGCCAGCCTCCTTGATTTTCCCTCCTTGTGAACTTTGATGCTTCAACTTTCTTTGGCTGAACAACTTTTGGCCGTCGGCAAAATGGTAAATGCCTAATGGCCTCTTAAATTCGGCCCGCATCTTGGAAGGGGGTCTCTTCAAGTCTTGATTTTCTGGCAATCATCAGAATGCATAATTGATGGCGTTATTAACCAATATTATTCCTCTTCTCCTTTCAGACTGGGCTTCATCTCGCAGTGGGGAGCGTTGGCTGGTCGCTATGCCGCCCTCTGTCCGCCCGGATGGCCCTGGGCCCCCCAGCGACTGCCCTTCCACAGTCCCACTCATGGTAAGTTGATTACAAGCAGCCAACAGCCAACGGAGTTACCGACTTTTCCTCGGCTCAAATTAAGACGACTGAACGGAACTGAACTGAACTGTACTGAGCACATGCCACAGCGGCTTAGCACCCGTTGCATCCGCCTTTTTATTTTCGCCAGGAATGTGATGGGTCAGGCATTCCACACAGTACACTAGCCGAAAATTAATCATATGTCTACGGACTCTTCTGGATTGATAAAAAACAGAATATTGGGAGATACAAACTAATGTGCATTGGTGTATTTACTAATCTGCTTTGAATTTTTTTCCTATGTAGGCGAACAAACAGTCACTTCCATTTAAAACTTGAATATGATCGATATTTTCGATATTTGGACAACATCGATGTTTTGCAGGGAAAGTACAAATGGAATTCCAAGAAATAGCAAACTGTTTATATTGTTTAAAGCTCTACTTCAATTTCACTTATTTTACAAATTATTTATTTTTTTTAGACAAACAGTTCTTCGTTTTACAAATTACTTAATATTTTAATATTCCTGAAATAGGGTTATTAAGAAGCTTTCAAAGGTTAAAGGTATTATTTTAGATTATTTCACAGTTTCATAATTACAGTCAATTGGTAAAATCGTTTGGATATTATTCATAAAACCTTTAAAGTCTAGATAGCAAGTTCTACAATCTGCTGACTTTAAATAGTATTTTTTTTTAGACTCCCAGGAAACATTATCGAATACATCAGATTTTTTCCGAGTGCTCTGGCAGTCCGATGCATTCGACTCAGAGTTAAGTTGTTTAGTCGACGGCAGCGGCTAATGCCTCAAAGAATTTCGCCCCAGAAGCAGACTATGCTAATGTCTTAAGCTCACCCACTCGGGCTGAAATGGAAGCCAAGTGAGACGACTGCTTTAATCGTCATTTGCAATTAATTGCAATTTGTAATCGAGTAACTCGATACGGACAAAGCGTTTGACATGTTTCGCAGTGGAGTATAGAGTGCAACTGCAATTGCAATTGCAGCTGAAACACCAGTGAGTGCAATTTAAGCCCGTTTAATTGGCCCCGTTGGCATTAAGAGTCGTTGCAATTGCATTTGTTCATGTAAATTGGCCTTAAGTTCTTCACCTTCGCTGCCACTCCAACTATCCACCACTATCCTCACGGATAGTTGAGTTTTTCCGGGTGAAAGTTTCTGCCGAGCGCTCTGTGCTATTAAGAGATTTAATTTTTTTCCCACTGGCCGAAATCCATTCAAGGCAAATTACGGCAATTTAAACTTTTCAAATGAGATCAAAACTAAAAGCTTCGATAAAAAGAAAATCGGCCAAGCTGACTGACAGCCATTTTAAATGGTAATTTAATGCGCAGACAGAGCAGGGATTGCTATGCTATATTATGCCATGGGCATGGGTATGGTATGGTATATATCTGTATATATATCTGTATGTACACTCTCGGCGTCTGCGCTTTGAGAACCCACAGCAATCACGAATGACACAAAAAATAAATAAAACGCTGGGGCGACAAGTGTGAGGTTAAGTGTTGCAGCTTAAATCTCTGCACACAGATACAGTATCTTGGAGCAGCAACCCTTAGGAGGAACCACCCCAAAGACCACCCAGGCCACCCAACCACCCACTGAGACTGACAAATCAACTAATACAATTTAAGCTCTCTCCGACTCAGACTCTCTCGCTAACCGCTTTTCTCTCCCGTTTTTCTCTCTCCTTGCAGACAGTTCCTCCACGAACACAACCGAGAATCCGCCATCGCCCACTTCCATGAGCCCAAACAACAACAACAACAACAGCAACGCCACTGCCAACTCGAACCAGGCCAGCAAATCGCCCTCGCACCACCCACTTCACCCCCTCTACCACCCCGCCCACAACTCGCAGCAGCAGCAGCAGCAACAACAGCAACAGCAACAGCAACAGCAGCAACAGCATCCACAGCAGCAGCAACAGCATCCACAACAGCATCCCCACCAGCCCACCACGCCCACCAGCAGCAGCAGCAGCGGGGGCGGCAGCAGTCTCGCCCACCACCCACACTCGCATTTGGCCGGCTCACACGGCGGCTACTTGCTGCCCAGCAGCTCCAACGAGTCGGATGAGGAGGGCGAGGAGATCATCGAGGAGGACGATGGGACGGATGGACCCTCCGACAGCTCCTCGCCGCACGGCGATGGCAACTCGAAGCGCAAGAAGAAGACGAGGACCGTGTTCTCGCGCGCCCAGGTCTTTCAGCTGGAGTCGACCTTCGATCTGAAGCGCTATCTCAGCTCCTCGGAGCGGGCGGGTCTGGCCGCCTCGCTGCGGCTCACCGAGACGCAGGTGAAGATCTGGTTCCAGAACCGTCGCAATAAGTGGAAGCGCCAGCTGGCCGCCGAACTGGAGGCGGCCAACATGGCCAATATGGCGCATGCGGCCCAGAGATTGGTCCGAGTGCCGGTGCTCTACCACGACGGCACCACCGCCGGGTTCGTGCCCCCGCCGCCGCCGCACCACCACCCCATGCAGTACTATGCGGCGGCACGCAACACCAGCCCACCGCGACCACCGCTCTCCTCGCTGGTATAGGGAGTGGGGTGCCTGGCGGCGCCCATGTCGCTGCTGAAGCCGCCCAATCCCGTGGGACACCCTCCGCCGCATCCGCCGCCGCAGCAGATGCAACGGCTGCCCTTCCTGGGCAGCTGCGAGCCCCTGGCGGAGGCGGAAATGGACTCCGACTCGGAGCAGGAGCGCCCGAATCTGCACGACGACGAGGACGCCGCCATCGATGTGGAGGCGGATGAGGAGCAGGAATCCGAATCGACAGCCTCCAAGGGCAGTCTCAGTTGCCTGGAAAGCAAGGAGAATCCCGGCCAGCACAAGGAGCTCGCTGCTCCTGGCGCGGACAAGACCGCCAACCAGAAGGCCTACTGAGCCAAATCCAACCAAGTGGCTCCAAATTGAGAGGAGAATGTTCAAAAAGGCTTTGAAAATATTGAACGATTTCGAAACATTCGAAAGTCTTTAAAGGAATTCTCCTCTCCGCGCAGAACCACATCAATTGGTTTCAAGTTTTTCTGCTAGTTTGTTCCTAAAAGCCCCTGTAAATAAACTTACAACTCAAGCTCCTTGTAAATTTAAATGTCTCTTGCTCAATAAGTTAGGCTTAAAAAAAAATAGCCCACACCATGTAAATACATAAACCGATTGCAAACTAACCGGCGGTTAGTGTGGGCGCTTGATTTCTCGTATCGTTTTTGTTTTTGGCTTTTAAACCCCTAAATTGCTGGTCAAGTGTAAGTTATATAAGTTCGATATGCTAAGCCGGGATCCCTTGGGGCCAAGGCAATCAATGTTAGTCTAGTGCTATTCGTAAGCTGTGTGTCAAGCAATTACCAAATAATTAGTTAAATTATTTATACTTTTAATCGAATGTTAACATAATCCAAACTTCAACTGAAACCAAACCGAACTCGTAAGCGTACACACACATTCACAGACATGAAATGCTTATAAATATACAAATAACAAATTATATATATAAAGATATTAATAAATTATATAAACATATAGAAAAAAAAACCAAAACTAAATGGGTTTTACTAATTAATATTTTAAGCTCTTTATTGGAGGGTTTTTTGCTATTTTTTATTGATCAAAAGAAGATTTATTTAAGGGATTATTAACTTATGAAGTGGTTTTAATTATGTTAAAATATGTGCTGACCTGAAGTTAAAGTGGGTACTTTTCCCTTTCAGTTTTAAACTGATCCCAACCCTTTTGTGCCGATGCAGTCGACCTTTAGAAGCATCTGTCCACATATATTGTCTCTGTATCGAATCCACTCAGCCTCTCATCCTATTCGTGGTATAGCAATTTGCTGGCATTTGATACAAATGTTTTTCCATTGGATTTATCCCGCCCACTCTGCATTCTGCCTTTTGCAAGCGCTTATTTGCGTTTAATTGCCAACGCAAATAAAGCCGGATATGCAGCATATATATGTAAACCTGGCCATAACAATACCGGTAGAACAGAAACGAACAGAACAGAACAGCTTTTGCCACAATTGCTGCAATGCATGTTGGTGCTGTTTCTGCTTTTTGTTTTCACTCGCATTGCAGGCGTTTTAAGTTGCCATTTATTGTGCAGTTTGTTGCAATTTAGTCGCGTCGAGCCCCCATTTCCTGGCCCTCTGGGTCCTTTGGGCCGTAGCCGTAGCCACTGCCACTGCCATTTCCGAGTTTCGAGTTTCGTTCTCGGCTCTCCGCATCGCGTGTTAAATTGCAAAAATAAATTGCGAATTGTGCGCAGCAAATAAATGGCAATAAAAATGCATAAAATGCTTTTTTCGCTATGCCTAACAAGCGGTGGCGGCGGGTTTGAATTACCAAACGTCGGCATAACTGTGATTCAGTGGATATATCTCCCGAACAGCCTATATATATATTTACACACATTTGTGCATAATTATAGGCGATTGTGTGGAGTGTTGCATTTCACACGACTGCGCATAAATGGAGGGCGTTAAAAACATTTCGTTTTTATTGTACGAATAAATGTATGACTCGTTGATGCGCTTATTTCGCAGCCAATCGTTTGTTTATTGGCTTGTATTTCATCCGGTCGGTAAACCGCTGGCCGAAGGCCGGATTTAGCCAGCACTTTAAGGATTGCTTATTTTCTGAATTTTCTGAATTTCCTGAGAATTGTGTAACCAAAGGTGGAATAAAACTGCTAACGGGGATTAGGCTTTCCATTTTCGTCCTCAAAATGAATTTCGCCACAATGGCACATTGTCCATTTTGGCCCCCAAGATAAAAAACCCAAAAAGGGGTTGAGCCTTGCTATTTCAGTTTCCAGCCATTTTTTCTGTGCAAGCCAACTGAACAAATTAGGCAACCTTTTATTCGACATCGGATGCTCTCCACAGCATTTCTGTATGGATGCAGTCAAGTGCTTGAGCATTTTATTTAAGCGCATGAATGGATTTGATGGCTTTCCTTCGCTGAATGCGAAATGTGCCCGAAAAAGGAGCAGAGCGAAAAAATATTTCAATTCATCTCATAAAATGCCTCAAAATTGTAGCGAAATTATAAAAATTGCCTGCCCCCAGACAACGAGCACTTTGGTTGGCTTTTGCTTTATTTGCTGCTTTTTGGCTGCTTTTTTGTTGCTTTTTGGCTGCTTTCAGTGAATGCAGCCTCGCTTTTCGCTGGTCTTTTTGGGCCACATTTGCTCATATGTAAAGTGAATTGTTTGGGCGGATTTGGGGAGTCAGTGGCTGGATTATGAGATCGCTCTTTTTTACAGGGTAGTAAATCGGGCTATGGTATACCAATTTTACTGATAAAATGTCTAAGATTTCAAAATGTAGTATTCAATTTAGTAGGTTTGTACAAAACGTGGAACATTTTTCAATAATTAATTTAAATTATTATTAACAAAACATTAAGTCTAATATTTCTATCGAATATTAAATAAAAAGATTTTATATTGCTATTTTAAAAGTTTAAGTTTAAATAAATTATAATTATAGGTTCATCGCGCATTCGACTTACTTTTACTTGTCTTTTCTTATTCTTTTTTGTAACTTTTTAGACTTTTTTTTGTTAATTTCATTTTCCGCTCTCATATGTGAAGTGGTTTTTTGCAAATAGCAGCCACCGCGCCACCCAAAAACGAGAATGGGGGCCAATTTTGAGGGCTGGTTCTGGCGCTTTTCGCAGACGCTGTTTTGCCTGCAGTAATTTCTTAATTAGCTTGCGAACACAATGTGCTTATATACCATATAGCATGGTCTCTTTGTATATATATCCGAGTTCTGGGTGGGGTGGTGGTGCAACATTTGCTAAAGCCAAGCGGCCGGGTACTTATTTTAATTGCAGCCTTTTTGGGAATGAAGTGGCCCAGCTTGGCGCACAGTTTCCACACTATTCGCATAAGTACTCATATATATATTTATGTAAATGTATATTTAGGATTTACTACTCCTATGGAAATTAAAATTTGTAAAAAGGATTCCAAGTAATCTACTTAAAATTAATTTAAATTTTAAATGATTTTGCTTTTTTCTGATTTTTGTTAGGGTTATTATTATTACTAACTCTGTTTTTTATTGTTAGCGTTTCTGCACCCCAATATAGTTTTTTATGGTCCAGGGTTTTGACAGCCCGAAGGACTGCCATAAATGGAATTTCCGAATGTGTTGCTCTCGACATGTTTTCTGCCTCACTTGCCATTAAGTTTATCTATTTTCGTTGACAGTTCAATTAAGTACAATGGCCACAACAGTTAAATTACGCTTAAAAAAAGGACTCGCACACACAAGGATTGCCATTTTTGTGGTTCGCTTTTTTCCGTTTGCTTTGGAGTGTCAGTTCGGACATTATGTCTGTAGTCCTTTGTACTTTATTATCCATTTAGCACATTTATTTTTATTTCCCATTCGGCGGCGCCTGCTGTTGTGGTTGCTGCTGCCGGTGTCCTCGCATTATCCTTGTATCCTTGCTCACTGCTCCTTGTTCCTGTTTCAGTCGTTACGGCCGCTGGTCAGCCCGCAAATATGGGCAATTTTTGCCCATCGCGATGTCCCTTTTTTATGGACTTTATTTTTTACCAGTCGTGTGTGAGTGCCGCATGTGCATGTATTTTAGTGCGTAGTTGTGATGGTGATGGGTGATGGTGACCCCCGCACCCTCCCCTACCCCCTACCATCCCTGCAATTCCTGTCACTATAATAGGCTCATCAGCGTTGCGTCTTTTTTATTGTAATGCCGCTTTTATTTGCGATTGAGGTGCTTTAATCAACTGACAATTGTGTAGCTGCGAGTGTTTTATGGCCGTAAATGGGTAACAGGATATTAGGACAACAATATCAGTTCCAAATGGTCATTACGCTATTTTCATAGCGTTGTTTTACCCTCTAAATAAGTATATATTTTTATAATATATATAAAATAACAAAAAAGAAATAAAAGCCTAATATGGACAAAAAATACAATTATTAGAAATGTATTGGTGAAAAGAAAACAAAATGATTTTGGTCGGAAAACTGAAACTATACTACGTAAAATTTAAAATCTGCTAGGACAGTCTGATCGAAGCAAGTGGTAAACCGAATAAATTTTGATTCTACAATTTTTCAAAAGGGTATAGTGTTAAAAGTTGAAAAAAAATCTTTGGAAATGTGAAACTGTCTCAGTATTTGCCTCGGGCGTAGAATTTACCTGTTTTTAAAACTCTTCGCTTTTCTAACTGACATTTGGATTAAACACAAATGGGAATTTGATTTCGTTTTTTCGTCGTAATTGTATTAAAATACTGCAAATGTTTCGTGAAGCTTATTTTAAGAAACCAATTAGTTTGAAAATTGTGCATTTTTTGTCCCCCAAAAAATTGATAACAAATTCTGTTAGTGTAGGACACCTGGATCAGAAAATGCCATGGAAAATTGGATTAGTGCATTTTTAAAGTTTGGTTTTTTCAATTTTTTTTCGATCGATCGAATTCAAACTGTCAGCACCACCTAACTGGGTGGATATGGAAAGAGATTTAAGAAAAAATTCCGAAATGGTCCAACGCTAATA